TAAATATATATATACAAGTTGTTACGTTTATTCAAACATCAAGAATATTGACCAAGTATTTTCCTATTTCCATTGGATTATATTAAGGATAAGTTTTAAGCCCGTATCTGTTTACTTTAGTTATGGATGTTCTTAGTGGACATTTACATGAGGATGTACCCCATCCTTTTTATGGATAAGACTAGAGAGGGAGTACGGAAAAAACTTAAATTATTGAGGTCATCTTTAGAGTTTAAAGGCTTCCATTTCAGAAGATCTAAAACTAAATACAAAGAATGGAATTTTAGTATGATTCAAGTCATTAAAATACATGAACTTTTTAGATGTCTCGAGTATATTGTTTAAAATGATGGCGATATAGATGGGGATGTTATTAGTGGGATTCAAGTTGGACGGTTGAAGTGGAGGAATGGATTGGGCCTACTATATGACAAAAAAGAACCACTTAGACTAAAAAGGCAAAATTTTATAAAATGGAGGTGAGACTTGCAATGCCTTATGGCGTAGAATGTTGGCCTATAAAAAAGAAGCCTAAAATTAAGGTTAAATGTTGCTGAAATGAGAATGCTAAGGCGGATGAATGGCTTTACACTTATAGACAACGCAAAACGAATATATTTGTCCAAGGAATGTAATAGGTCCAATGGTAAACAACATTAGAGAGTCACCATGGATGGCTGGTCACATTAAGCATCCACCATCCAAATGACTAGGAGAGTAGATGTTTTAGATTTAAATTATGTAACCGAAGTTGGAAGAAGACCTAAAAGGACTTAGACATGGTGTATAAAAAATGATATTAACATATTAGAATTAAATGAAAATATGGCACACAATAAGACACAATAGAGAAAAAAAATTTATGTAGTCGACCCCAAATAGTAGGATAAAGGCTTATTGTAGTTGTGCCACAATCCAAAAAAAAAAATTTAGTGATGTTGTTCTAAGGCTTCTAAAAATTGTTGATAGAGTACAAGAAATGGCTAGGTAAGTTGTAAGAGGCATAAGGAAAGCAGGAGAAATAATAGCGGCTGAATTCCGGCTGAATTCCGGTATAGTCGGTGGTGGGACAGCGAACTAGAAATGGAAACCTGTTGTTTTCCACTGCCTAACATCAGCTTTCTGCTGTTAAATAACAGTAACAACAAGCAAACGACAAAAGCAAGAGGTATGGGCGGCAAGGAGGATTCAAGAAAAGGATACAACACTCCGAATAGTATAAAAAGATAACAAAGTCTCCAAAAACACACACACAAAAGTTAGCACCACTCAAAATAGTAAAAATACAACATATAAATAGTTCCCTGCTAACAAAAAACCCTAATGAGAATTAAATAGAAAAAAATCAGAGGAGAAAAGGGTCTACTAAAATTGAAAGTGTGATTGCATGTGGGCAGGAATGTCACCCTACAATCGCGGGATGTTGCGATTCTATGTCGTGAAATCCCACTCGGGACTATAGCAAATCCAGCGAAACCAAATCCCACGTCAATTAGGCTCTATTTCTATTGAAAGAATAGTCAATTTGCAAGCTAGAGATCATTTGCAAGAAACATTCACATGATTTATTCAACTCTACTATTTTATAATCTTCTCATTTGCAACCAACAACACAAGTAATGGTTATATTCATTATAATCTTCTATGAAAAACTTCGCTACGAAAAGAATGAGCAAAAATCAAAATAATGTTAGAGCTTATAAAGGTGACTTAGAATGAAAAGAAATGATTATTGGACAAATACACAAGGAGGGCCTACCATTAATTTTATGCACATGAAAAAATTTAGATCCTTATAAATGTCATCAATTATGAAAGAGCATATAAGATTAAGTTTTATTGCTAATCAAATCAAATAAGCAATTATTAGGCGTTCACACAAATAAATGGTTCAAGCAATTGTTAATAATATGTTTGTATATATAGCTGCAAGAAAATTGATTGAGGGTTTGTTTGAGGCAGCTGCAGATTATTGATAATCTGCTGATAAACAACTGATTCAGATAAGTTGCAGCTGCTGATCAAGAGCTGATCCAGATAAGTTGACTGTCTGTTTGATTTGTGTTTGAAAAATAATTGATTTGCAGTTGTTTCTAGACTGCTCATGTGCAATAATGTTATTTACAACAGAAATATCACACCTAAAATTTAGATACTTCAGAAACAAATAACCACTTCTTAACAGTGCCCAAAAAAAGACATACCTCACTTAAGAGATAAAAATTGAGTGTTGTGTATGCAAATCTTCCAAGAAAAATATTACAATAACTATGATAAAAATAAACAATGAACATATATATTTTTTTATTAAATGTAATATTTTTTTTAGCAAAAAATTTATTTTCCAATAATACTACCTCTAAACAACTCGAATAACACCAGCTCGGGCAAAAGACGCGAATAACACCGCGTAACTCACCAATAACACCAAAAAATTAGCTAATAACACCATAATAACACCTGAAAATTACTAAAAACCAACTTGAATAACACCGGTTCGGGCAAAAGGCGTGAATAACACCGCGTAACTCATCAATAACACCAAAAAATATACCTAATAACACCACAGTAACACATGAATACTACCGAAAAATAACTCGAATAACACCAGCTCAGGCAAAAGGTGCGCATAACACCGGGTAACTCACCAATAACACCAAAAATCTATCTAATAACACCACAATAACACTTGAATACTATCGCAAAATAACTTGAATAGCACCGACTCAGGAAAAATGCGTGAATAACACCTCATAACGCATCAATAACACCAAAAAACTTAGTTAATAATATCACAATAACACCTGAATACTACCGCAAAACAACTCAAATCACCGGCTTTGGCAAAAGACACGAATAACACCGCGGGATCTAACCAATAACACCACAATACTACCGCAAAACAACTCGAATCACCAGCTCTGGCAAAAGGCACAAATAACACCGCGGGATCTCACCAATAACACCAAAATAACCTAGCTAATAACACTGTAAATAACACCATTGGAGGGCACGGGAGGGCATAGCCGTAAACAATTTTCTGCGAAAGCGGGCGGCGTGTAATACAAAAGCAAAACCAACATCCAGCAACGTAGCGAAGACGGAGAAAACAAACACCCACGTCGAAATTTTGAAACGCCTCGCAGCTATTTTGATGCTCCAAACGGGCCCTGAGACTCAATATTCTCATAATCTTTTGTAATGTGTTATTGCTATACTAAATATTGCATTATGGGATTCAAAGAATCAAAAGGGTAATTAGATCACTTAAGAAATATGCATTTGCATCAACGATGTTACAAAATATATCAACTTTATAGAGAGCTTCATCATGAATCCCTCAAATAGAACTGCCAATTTTCATTTAAGTTCACGAAATTAAAATGTTGGCTATAGCATAAAGTTATTTTGCTTCAATAACAGTTATGATTAGACGGTTCAAAAACAATTAAAGAACAAACAATTTTAATTAATGACATAAAGCAAGTACCAAAAAAGATATCCAAATAAGTAGAGATTCATGAAGAAAAAATAGAGATAATTTATGATAAAATAAAATAGATTACATTATTGTTTACAAAACCAATATATAACATGTTATAAGTGGTTGATGCGTGTCTCCACTTTTGTATGACATATAGAAATTTATGATTGAGAATTTGAAAAGAACTATATATAGATATAAAGGGAAGAGAGACAATGAGAACTCCATTTTCTATGAAATTGTCCGAAATTTTCTTGGGCAAGAATGGAAAAAAAATAATACATCCCTTTGCTCCTTAACTCACTCACAAAATCCACAATAACGTTTAACATAATCATTATTCTTGGTTGTCCTCATTTCCTAATTAGAAATATCATTAATTAGTAGCATTCTTTAATCAGATATTACAACTTTGTTTTGCTAAATAAAGTTCCAAATCACGCTGCCCTATATAAAGATATGAAGATATCAAATAAAAAGAGCAAATACCTAAAGATTTTTTAAATATTGAAAATAGATTAATGGTTGATTTAAAATTTTCCAAGTACTTCGGATTCAATTAAGCCTTTTTTTCTCATAACTCCATAACTACTTGAGGCATGGAAAGATTTGATCGATGGTTTATGGAGCTGATTCCCCAAGACTGTAAAGTTAGCTTTTAAATTATTGGCTCAATTATGTTCATCTTCTTACCACAAAAGAAATTAGGAAATATACTTTTTTTTATCAATAAACTTATGAAGAACATAATTATTCCTCAACGGATGATCATTTAGTGTATGTGCATATCAATCTGAGTCCTTTATTTAGAAGCCTAGAATGCACTCAAAGGAAGACTAAATTGTAGAATATATTAACTACAAAAGCCGATTATTGAAATACCTCTTTTTCATTAGGTGATGGTATAAATAAACAGGTTATTGCCTCCCATTCAGAACTACCAAACTGGGAATAAGTCTTGTCTTTAGGTGAAATGAAAATATCTAATTAAAATGGTGCTGACGAATGCAAGAATTAACAAACATATCCCCTTCCAATAACCCTTCAACATAATACCGACATAAGTTTGACTAACACCTCGTGCAGAAACTAATTAGTCAATACCTTTAAAGCCTCCAAGGATATAGAAATCACAATCAGAGCACAAACAATGATTACGCAGCGTTAAAGCTACACACATATTATATGATTTCATCATGTAACCAAATTAGATGAAATACGTGATCGAGTATAATTTGATCATGGACCTGATGTGAACTTTAAAGTCACACAAGGATACATTGCAACCATGTAGTACCATTAAGATAGTCACACCATTGAGACATCCAACCATGAAAGATTGAATATTCATCAGACGGATAAACTTTAGCAAATGGGTAAGAAAATCTAGGCGCAATCTTAATATATTTTCGTTTAAGTATTTCTCAAAAGAAATTGAGAAGACGACCAAGATTCAATGATGTAACAAAATACTTATTCTAGCTATTGAACATGATGTGAAAAAAAAATGTATTACCTGTCCAAAGGGACTAAACAGCTGCCTTAGATCCCTTTCAGTTGCTTCAAATGCCACATTTCTCACGATCAGTTTGGTCAAACTCTTATCTTTGCCTTCTTTCTTCAGAGCCTGAGCATCAGTCTTGGCATGGCAAAGTTGCAAGATCAATGCATGCCCATCCAGGATGGTTCCCTGCAAATGAAATAGTATAATCACAATATTTATATTAGAGAATGTTAAGCTCAGCGTAATTTCCAATTTCATGTCTTAATTTGAACTTTATTTTTTATTTCTTTTAATTTTCTTTTGTTTTGCTGAGTTTACTTAAGAAATAAGCAAATTGTTTAAAAAGCCTGTTTACAGTTTCTATTAGTTCTATGGGGCGGAAAAACAGTAGGTTTTAGTGCTTGAAAACAGGTGAAACAAGTCATTGTAAGACATGTAAAAAACAGAAAGAAAAGTTAAATAAGGCCTAAAATATGTAAATATAGATGCAAAAAAATATATATGTTTGTGTATAGTGAGCACAAATAAATTACCTGTGCATCCCTGCATACGCTTATTGCTGTTTCCACTGTCTCAAACTCAATGAAACCAAAACCCATGGACAAGTACTTGCCATTTTTAACTTGCTTCTTCACCTAGAAAATGAGAAAAAGCAGAAGCAATGCGTGAGCTAAATATAATTTAATAGAAATTGTGACTTCTAATAAAATAAAAAAGATTCACTTTAGAAAACCTTGATACTCTTTATGCTACCGCATTTCATGATCTTTTCGAAATGATCTTTCAAGGAAGCATCCGAAGTTTTGAAATTCAAGTTTTTCACAAATACTGACCTTGACTGCAATAAAAATGGTAATTATCATTGATAATTATGAAAGATTAATGAAAAAAAATTGAAGGAAATACCTTATAAATTACAAAAAAGAAGAAATTGTAAAATTATCTAACTAATGCAGTATGCCAAAAAAAAAAAAAAAAAAGATGAATGCAGAAGCAGGGAGCTAAAATATATGGCAAGGTTGCTTTAAAATGTATCAAAAAACTAAAACGTTAATAGTGCATAAGCTGCACTCGGATAAAAAACTCTGGCACTAGTTCTAAACATCGAAAAGAACTGCTAATATGACATCATCTGCATAAAGTTTCTCCAATCCAAATCCTTATAACAGATTAAATTCGCAGGCAAGCTAGTTAAAAACATTAGAAAGTCCATCTTAACAATTCTTGACTCTTACAATACTAGTAAAACTACACGAGCACTAAGTTGTTCTTTAGACTTGTTAAATTAAAATTTGCTTGGTTACACTTTCAAAATTTAATGAAATGAAGAACCAAGAAATATAATTAAATGAATTAACGGTACTTTAAAATAGAATATCCAATTGAAAGAAAATAGTATCCTCTTAGCTCAAGAACTGCTTACCATATATCCATTTATTTTCAAAATTTAAACACTCTCATAATATTAATACATGGAGTTCTAGACTTGCAGAGCATCTCTTAATATTAACTTTGTTTTGTACAAAACATTAAAGCTACTTTTCTGGAGTAAAATTAGCTAAACAAATCATGACAAAAAATGACGAGGATTATCAGAGACTTTCTAATTTAGGAATCAATCTCATCAATCAACATATTATCTTCTGAGAGTTTAACTAACAGACAAAAAGAACAACTAAAATATGGATAGGTTAGATGTTTAGGAGTTGCTTAGCGTCAAACGGACATGACAAGTAGTTCATACTGAAATGCCGCAAAGGAGTACTTCAGTCTCATAAGTGCTAAACAAGTGTTAATTGACAAGCTGAGGTCCTTGAATGAAAGATTTTAGCAGAGTAAAATAAAATTTAAAAGATTCATTGTGCAATTTTGGTGTACAAGATTTGTGTGAAATAGGATATATATAATAATGAAATGCATCAAATAATAATAATAATAAATCAAATATATGATAATATGTAATGACCCAGATAAGTGATTTTGTATACAGTAAAAACTATAATGCCAGAGTTTGAAAGCCGCAATCCACAGACCCAAAATTAATAGGAAAATTTAATAGAATCTCGCGTAAGAAAAATAACAAACAAATGTATGGAGTGACATATTCAGGTATGATGCTTTCTTTGTACTATTTTAATTGAAATAATTAGATGAAAAAAGAAAAGGTTAAAAAAAAAACTGCAGTTGAAAAGTATGATGCATTCAAGGAAACGGGTGAAAGAACCATAAATCTCTTAACCATGTGAGCGTAAAAACTAGTCAACCAAAGAATGCCGAGCAAAAGAAAAGGTATTTCACATGCTGCACAAAACAATCAGCACATGACCGTGTAGGAAGATTGCAGGATTATATTTGGTAATGGAACGGCCCACAATAAATGTCAACATATGTTTTCTATAGAACCATAAGCTCATAAAAAGCCAAACGGTATACTAAAAATCTAATTTGTAGTGGCATTCCAAGGAAACTCGGATTCACAACTTGGAGGAAGAAAACTAAAGTGATAATAATATAATTAGTAATTGCTACCAAAGTATAAATCAACAAAAAATGGCAGAAACTAAAATTGAGTGGAGGGAGGCATAGATCTAATGAGTTTTTACTTGAATACTTGAAAAATACAAATAATAATCTGAGATTGTAACTTAAAAATAACCAAAAAAATTGAAAGCATAAATTTGTGATATTTAGAAGGATATAATATCAGTCTCTAAAGGCAAATACATAATGTAATATAAGCATTTAGCATATATATGTTCTCAGTATTTGTCAAATAAACAGGGTGTTGGGCAGCTTCACTACCATTATTTTGTAATTGCAACTAAAGAGCAAAGAGTCTTCAGATTTATTCGGGGGGTGACTACAGCTTTTCTGTAAAAGTGATTGTAAGGTTATGGTGGAAAAAAAAAATTCTTAGAAAGTTGTTGTGGAAATTATAAATATATATTTGTTTCCAAAATAACAAACAACGGCTTTCTTATAGCAATTGCACATTAACAAGTCGGGTTAATAAAAACTGATTTCCACAAAAGAAATTTTTAGAAAGTAGCAAGAAAAGAGTTTCCCAGCAGAATTGTGATGGTGGTTTGAAACACAAATCAAATAGATCCTTAGGCTCACAAATTAAAAAAAATGTAAAAAAAAGAAGAAATCAAAACAAATAAAAAATAGTATAAAATCCCAAGTGTACAAATCAGTGCAACCCAAACTGAAGTGTACCACTGTTATGTCGTCAATACGTCAGTATAGGTTAGGATCGGTCTGGAACCAGCTGACCAGCCAACTCCTCTCACCCATACGTCGATCGGTTCGACAGAGAGGGCAGAAACTCCTGGTGTAGCCACCGCAGAGGATCCCAGCTCCTAGGTAGAGCCCACCAAAGCTCTAATCACATACGCAAGGAGAAGAAATTAAGGGGATTTTTGGGGGGAAAGTTTGAAACAAGCCTTAGAGAATATTTAGGAGGGTCAATTGTCTAAGGTTTGTTTTATGTTATGTTTGTTACAGATTTTCTTTTCTCGTGGTGTTCCTAGAGGCGTCTAGGATTTTTGGAAAGATGATCTACCTCTAGAACAATAAATTAACATTGTATCTTGTTTGTTTTAGTTGGTATTAGTAAAATCAGCCCTCATTGGAGTTTTCCCGCCCCTCTTTTGCAATTTTTTTGTTGTTTGTTTGTTGGTTTTAATTATGGATCATCAAATTAGTATCAAAGCGAGATCTTGAAGGAATGGCAGCAAAGAAAGTGAATGTGTTGGAAGGAAAAAGTAGGGCAAATCCAATTGAAATTTGAGGAAAAGTTCGCCATAATTGAGGTAGATTTTCTGCCAAAGAGCACCGAATGGAGGTTCGATTTGAAAGCATAGAGGAAATGATAAAGAGGCTCCTAGAGATGCAATCTAAGACCGCACCGACGACTCAAATTGCAAATCCCAATCAAGGGCCAATCAGAAAATCCGTGGCCATATCAAAAGAGAAGGAGATCGAACTAGAGGTATGCGAGGAGGAAAGCATTTATCACCATGAGCTCCCCCTAGGACTCCGAGAGGAGGGGGTGGAAACTAGATGAGGATGAGCCAAAAATTGGAGGGTGTTGAAAATGGCACAAAAGAGCACGATGAAGGAAGGAGAAAAGCGGGAGAGGAGTATGGATATGACCAAAGGAAGGAGTTTTACCCTAGACATATGGGGGGAAATGTCAAAGGGAAAAGAAATTTGGATGGCGATGCGAGGGTAAGGAAATTGAAGAAGACGATCTTTGAAGGGAAATACGCACATGGGTGGGTGTATCAGAGGGAGTGAAATTTTGCAGTTAATGGGCTAACTGAGGAAGAGAATCTCATGGGAACGGGATTATGTTTGATGGGAAAGGCCCTATCATGATTTCAGTGGATGCAGGGGAAGTGCCCGGTACATTCGTGGGAAGAGTTTAAATATTGTTCGTTCGAACGTTTCCAAGCCATCCGGGAAGGAGACCTTTATGTTTTGACTTAGGAGGGAACGGTCACAGAATACAGAGAGAAGTTTGAGCTCATGCTAGTGCAGTTGAGGGGTATATCTACTTCAAGACTAAAGGAGAACTTAAGGTGCAGCCCTCCGATCTTTGAGACTGCGGGGATTGAGGAAGATGATGGAGCTCGCCCAAATGATGGAAAACTAAAAATGGTTGAAGAAGATAAGCAAAGGCAGCACCACGGGGGGATTTATAGGAGCCTCAATGACCATGACACAAAGGACCCATAAGGTTTCATTTCAGAAAGAGACGCCCAATAAGAAGAATATAGGGGGACCCATTTCGAAGGCACTTTCAAGCGCCTACTGATACAAAAGTGTAGGATAAAGAGCGAAAATGTTATGTTTCTAATGTGACGAGAAGTATGCCTCCGGTCATCATTGCAAGGAGCACGCACTTGCAGTCCTTATAGTTCATGAAAAGAAGACAGATTGTGCGGCGTCGGAGGAAGATACGGTGGAGGAAGAGGAACATTTTCACTTGGATGTAGCAAAGGTGTCCCTCACTTCAGTGATTGCATTTACTTTGAACCACTCTATTAAGGTGAGGGAGCAAATCGGGGAGCAGCAATTGTGGGGTTGATGGATAATGGAGCCACACAACATTATGTCAAATTAGGTTGTGTATCAGCTAGGATTGGTGCTAGAAGATATGAGGAGCTTTGGTGCCATGATGAGGACAGAAAAGGTGGAGAAAAGTCAGAAACTTTGCAATGGAGTAGCTTTGACATTACAAGGCCTACAGGTGATAGAGAACTTCCTTCTTGTGAACTTGGGCAGCACTAATGTGATTTTAGAGATGAAGTGGTTACAAACATTTGGGGAAACGACGATAGATTGGAAATACATAACGATGCAGTTCATGGTGGAGATGCATTACGTAAAAATTTGATTATTGCGCAAACTCCGTCTTAACTATTAGATAACAGTTTCATCATCACCATTCAATGAGCAAAAGTAAATACAATGTCAAGAACACAAACTTATCATCAACTTATGAAAGTGTGAAGAATATATATATGTATATATCAGTAAATGGAATCTATCATAAAAGCATAAACTTACCAATGTATTTCAGCTAACATTGAATGCACTTATCATCTAAGGGATACTGCTCAAACTTGACCAAAATAGTATTAAATAATTATACGCTACAATGAAATCTCGACATAACCACAATGGACTGACTTGTAACTTAAAGAGCAAAGACAGTTTATCATTATACTTTAAATGAATTAATATACTTCAGGGAATGGGTTATTTCTTATGGATTTTAGCCATTTATATAAAAAACTAACACAACGACACTCAAATGAAGGCTGTGGAAATGAGGGATGAGATGAAAGTGAATTTACCCGAAAGAGAGTTGTAGCAAAATATTTGTGATTCCAAAACATTCAATGTTGCGAATGAGGATAGAACCTCCTGATAGAATATATATATATTTGAGAAGTGGCAGCATGTTAGGATACAGAGAAGATATTACTGGGTAAAAATGTGAAAAGAGCACAATGGTTTGACATTCATTGAGTTTATAGGTTTCATTCTGTGATGAATGGACGGTCTAAATTTCGATTGGACAAATGATCAACTCATATTTGAATAGTCCTAGAATATGGTGGAGATGCATTACGTAAAAAGCCTGCTTTTAGTGTCAGGCATCAATTTTCTACAATCCGAAATATAGAAAATAATAAATTTTGAATAAGACAACCAATAAAAAGCTTTTAGAACTATATTTTAGAAAAAAAATATATATTAAAATATTAAAATTTCCTATTAGAAAATTCCTCCCTCCAATAACATATAATAAGCTTTTAGAACCACATGACATTGCACAAAAAGAAATCCTGATATCTTTACTCGTTTATTTTTGGCAATAAGCTCTGCTAGATAGGTCTAAACAGAATAGCAAGTATAGGAAGGGATACAAAATTTTATTGAAGTATGAAACGGGAAGGGTGGCAACCCAAGCATGAGTCAAGAACCAGCAAATGCCCCTTTATTAGATATAAGAACAGCCAAAAATCTTTAGAATGTCTCCAAATTCGCCAATGCAATTAAGTAAATGGCATTACAAAATATGAAAATAAACTGACACTCTAAAAATAACTTTTTATCAAAATAATATTCCTCAGCTGTATCAGAAAAAGGAAACCTTGTCGTTCAACAGAACAACAAAAGTACTTAGACAAAACTGCTCACATTAAAAATGAAATTCATTTCAGCTTTTATTCTGTTTACTTCAAAGCAATATCAACTCCATATTAACAAGAGTCAGTACTTCCAACCCTGACCTCTAAGCACGGCTAAGGGCTGATTCAATAGTTTAATCATTCATGTAGCAGATTTTCAAAAAAAAAATCTTATTACAATTTCGCATTTATGAGTAATGAACGAGGAATCCTACTCATCTTAAATACTCACCTAGTCACTGGTGACATTCAGATAATTGGTACAATTTAATGAAAACTAGAGTTTCTGGCACATAAATAAACAAGTAAATGACTGTCACGCAACAGACAGATATTGCCATCTTACAAGGTTTTAAATCCCTTCAAACAGATAAAGAAGCTAAAAAGTTTATCACTCATCAAAGGCCATTAATGCATGTAAGTGCAAGAAAATATAAGAAAAAGTAAAAAAGGACAATGTTTCAAAAAAAAAATTATATTACCTCAATTCTGTCAGGATCAATTTCGTCTTCTAGCACACCAACAGCTTCATTCACCACAACACCTCTCAAGTTCTGCTCACCAACTGTATCTTTTGGCTCACATCCATCAACCCCTGGGCCAGGACAAAGTATATGATCTGGAGCCCACTCCAAATATAACGGAACATCTCTGCAGTTTGCAAAAATCAAACTGCCTCAAGCCAAATCAATAATCGGCAAATGCAACCTATCTAAACTCCACCTAAAAACATGGATTAAAATTTCATCTTTCAACACAAATTAATTATTACAAAAAGTGAAAGTCAATGGAACTCCAATTAGAAGTTCAATTTTAATGATAAATTAAAATACAAACTACAACAATTTAGGTATGCCCGGCATTCATGATGCTACACACTAACAATAGAAGAACACTTCTTTAGGCATTTGGTACAAAAACACTAGGAAAACGGATGCAAAATGATTTTAGCACATAAGACTTTATTAGCATCAAAAGGCTCACTAGTTGCCCACAAGTTGATTAAAATTGTTTAAGACGGTTAAAAAAAATTACGGTTGCTCTCACTTCAACATTACATATTTCATGCATTTTATAGGTTCCTATTCACCAATTCAAATCGATGTGCCCCATCCATTTCAACTATTATGAAGTGTGATAAGATATTCTATAGCTGTTCAAAGCTGTTTTAGCACAACAAACAAAATTTATTGTGCGCGTGATAGCTCTACATGAGAACATGAATCATGAGAAATTTACCAAGAAAAGAGAGGTATGAAATTGTCGGAAGTAGACACAAAATCAAAGGTGAATAGTTAACTTAAACAAAAACTGCATTAGAAAAAAAAAAGGACAGCATGATATTTGATTCTATAAACAGGTTACTGAAAATCATGAGATTAAAAAGACACCAAATATGTGCAGAGAATAAAATAACTAACAACATCTCATTCTAAATACTCTAAAAGAATTGGCTTTATTTTTTTTACTTCAGAAAACAAAATTAGGTACTACCAAGGAAGCTTACTTGAATTTCTTATATGCCAAACCTTTAAATGCTGCTCGAGCTTCAGCTGCTTCAAGAAAAATAACCTGAATTACACAAGAAGGGCATAAATACAAAAGAAACGTGCCATAAAGCCAATAAGCACTCAGGGCGTTAAGCATCTACAAGAAACTAACATCATAATAATAAATATGTTCATAATACATGAATTCATATGCATAACCTGATTATATGTTTATTAATAGAATAAAAAAAATATCACTACCAAAGAAAAGTGAATCCATTCAGCTACAAAGAATAGCTACATGCAAAAGTGAGAGAGCTCGAAGGTATAATTCAAACAGAACTTAAAAGTTTATGTGATTTCTGCTTCAAACACAGAAGAAGCAGTAACAGAACAAGCTGCCAAGGCCGTATGAAACAATAAAATTTGATATGCCTATGGGATTTATGCAGCATCAGTCAACAACAATTAAAAGCTAATAAACTACAGCGAAAAACATGAGAAACAAGAATGCCAGCCATAACAAGAATAATCACTCCTAATTTAGACTTCCAAAACTAAACTTGATTTTCTACACTGTAAACAATATTGTACGAAACTTCAAAGCTGTAAGATGTGCAACAAAAATAGAGGAAGGCTTAAACAAATCCATACCACAGCCAACGTTTTAGTAGGTGGAAGTATGATCTTGTCCAAACTCCCAAATTTAACAAACATGTTTGCAAGTTCCCCTTCAGTAGAACCATAAGGTAAATTCTTGACCAGTATAACATGATTGCTTCTTCTCATATTACTGTTCTTTCTAGAAGCAAACTCTTCCAAAGCAGCAACATTAACACCAGCATTGGATAAGGCCTTTTTGGTTTCAGCAACCACTTGAGTTTCTCCAAGTGCAATACGCACAGCTAGATCATCTGCATCTCTTTCAAGAAATTCATTTCTACTAATGCCATGTTTCCTCACTATATTTTCAACAACCTGTGGCAGCAAAAGCCGAGACAAAAATTTCAGAAAGCTTAGTGAATGTCCTGTGGCAGACAAAATGATCAACAGTTAACAGGAAAATATACAAAAAAAGTCCAAATGAAGATACTCAAATGTATTTCCCTACCAGGTTAGTATTCTAATTCTGCTGCCCAACTACCTAATTAGTGTTTATTATGCAACATTAAGAACAATATGCTCTAAGAGATATTTGATCTTATTTCCAGTCTATAAGATGTTCATACAAGCCATTCTGATATTCTCTTGGGAGAATAAATTTTGATGCCAAAAGAATATCAAATGAAGTATAGTGTACATCTAAGGTAAAATGGATTAAAGTGGTTGAAAATGATTTGTAAAGAACAGATTTAATAAATCAGAAAGTACTCAATAGGAACAAATGAGAACTGAAGATTCATAAAACTGACCTCAATTAGTTGGGGTGAGGCTAGTGATAGATGACAAGAAGATGATAAGAAAGAATTGTGATAGCTCTCTCATCAGGTCTCACATAAATACTTTTCTTTCTATAGAACAAATGATGTGTTCTTTTTCCACCATACTTGCAGTTGAGGCTTGCTGCTTCCTTCCTATAGCAGGAGGGCAAGAGATTCTCTATGCACCTCTAACTTAGATCAGTTCCGGTAACAAACTTCTTGAACAATATTCCCATGTTGATCTGTAGTCTTTAGTCGTATATGCTCACCCTTTTAACACCATTTCCATGATATCTACCTATCTTTATCCAAGGGAACTATTGTGTAGACATCCACATAAACGAAATAGTGACTTTGAAGAGAATGATTGAAATTATGGGGGTAGCCGACTTTAAGGTTATTTTTGTGTTTTTAAATAAAATAATCTAAGAGGTGTAATAACTATTTTTTGTATGCATGAAGAAATTTCTAATTTATATTCAGTTTTGAGTACTTTGTTGGGATGTTTATGCTTAAAGTGTATTTGTGGCTACCAATTGTCGGATAAGTTATCTTCCCTATCATTGTGGGGCCTAAATTTTCTCCACTTGGTGAATTCCTTCCCTAATTTGTTTTCTTCTAAGCAATTTATTAAAAGGTTTTGCAAGTGTGATTGATTTTAGTCAAATCAATTGCAATTGGATTTCTATTTTTAGTGTGAATCTTTAACAACTTGTGGTTTTTAAAAGCTTTTTAAAAATCTATATGTTTCTTTGATTGGGAAATTATTAAATTAACATTTAGCATAAATTCTCTTAAATTTCAAATTTATATCAAAAGAAAACAAAATACTAATTAAATTAGCGGTCTTATTATCATAATTATTTCATACATTGTATCGTTCACACACACACACACACACACACACACAGGCTATTTTATTACATTATATGTTTAATTAAGGGTTTTAGGCAAAAGAACAGAGATGATTAAACTACAATTCACTAAAACGACTACATTAGCCTTTATTTATAAATAATTGGATACTAGGAAACATTACAATCGTTCTATTAGGTCTATCACGTGAGATAAATATGCCTTAACAAATTAATATCACCTCCCTGAGAATCTATTATGTGCACAGCAAAACAAGAAGCATACATTGTTGACTCTGACCTTCTTGACAATTATAGTTCGAGAAATATTCTTTTAAGAATGTATGAGAAGCAAAAAATGAATTGAAGTTGCGGCAAGAATGTATATCTAGTTTTGATGGATCTAGTTCTACAACAATGTAAGAACGTGTCCATGAATTTGAAACTGTGATGGAACAAAATATCATATTCGAACGTGACTTCTCATAATTCCATGGATGCTAACCTGTCAAACGAATCAAAATATACTGTGGATGTGAACAAATAATCATTATTCTATATGAAAAAATCAATTAAAGAAATTGATAACACAACTCATAATTAATTATTCGCTAATATTATTCTTAAAATAAATTATTGGTTTGAAACTGGTTGTCTTTGAATCTATATTTCAATATTTCAAGAAATTTATTAATGACAAATGCACTTAAAAAAATCTAATAAGACTATCAGATTAACTCTAAAAGTGCACAATTCATCGAAACAAATTTTCTATTTTGCATTGATACAAGTGCGGGGGCACACACATATTGGACACAAATAAGCATCGGACACGCCGTTATAATAAAAAAAATTAAAATAAATATACAAATTAAATAAATAAAGTAAGCAAAAAATGCAAAAGAGAAAAAAAAAATACTAACATTGACTTTCCTGTTTTAGTTAATATAATTTCTATTTTTTTATTTTTTATTCTTAAAAACAAATCAAATTGTATCTAAAAATAATCAAAACATTTAAAAGATGTTTTGAGGAATTTTAAGAATAACTGCCTCAATCAAACAGTTTTAAATTTATATAAAAATAAAAAAAATAAAAAACAAAAGTAACAAGCTAAGGCAAACAAAAGTAACAAGAGATGGATAATTGAAGAGTAGAGACTCGTGTGACAATCCTTGCATCTTAAAGTCTTGAAGTTCACCAATCATAAAGAACAAAGGGTAGCCATAGAACTTTCAAGTGTCAATATGATAGTGGAATAAAGAGTCACGAAGATCTAGGCCTGCAATTTCGTTGTGGGTAGCTATAGAAATAGACGTTGAGGAAGATGCCAAGAGTAAATTGTTTGATTGCTACCCTAGAGATATGAACTGAAGGATGTTGATAGGAATCAAAAAAATAAATTCTACAAACTGCAAAGGGAAGAGATCGAGCATCATGGACCCAGGACTTCCTATCTGGAGCATTTTACTATTTTGAGCTTTAGTCATTAAAATATTTAGGATTAAATAAATTATTTTCAGCCATCTAATTATAAATAAATGATGATCATATATACAGCAGTGACCATAAAAATTAACTTTGAAGAAGAGGTTATTCAATCAAACTGAATATTTCGGCAATATGATCACAAGCTATTTATAGTTCATTCACAAGACAATTTGGATGTGTATTAAACTAGCGGAAGAACCAGTTATTGATTTAGGTTGTTTGAAAAACCAATTCAATCTATTTTTTAAAACATTGGATCTACCTCATCAAACCACATAAATTTGGTTAGAAATGATTTAGGAATTTATTGGTTGCAGGAGGATCCACAAGGAAAAGTATTAGCATATGTTAGTTAATTTAGGAATTTATTGGTAAACTTACATATGTTTTTGGTTTATTCATGTTGGCGTGGTTATTAAATACGTCAACCATTCCTAGTGACCACCAATAATTGACAAGTAGGCTTCCTTAAAGCTACTGATTAATACAACTTATGAGGCTCTAGAGATGCTCATGAATTACCACTTACATGTAGCAAAAATGGTGGTTGTGAGCAAGGATATAACGGTTCGTGGTCATTCCAAACAAGCACTAAACAGACAAAAATTGATTTTAGTGAACATTAACAATCAAACAATGGCCAGTGAAAACTCAAAAGGTAGAGAGAAACGCTTTGGGGTCCAACATTAGTTGCAAATGAGACTTCAGTAGCCATAGCTATCATCTTCGAAAGGTTAACAAAAGGCAAAGATCAGCAGGAGGATAAAATTTTGTTAGACATTTGCCAAGTTTGGTTTCTCCGTTTCTTAGAGATTATTTAAAAAAAAATATCAATTTAATGGTTGAGTGCATGCCAAGTTCTCTCATATTATTTAACATTTCATGGTTAATTGAAAGTATGACTATTTTTAAATCATAGGATAGCATGGTGGAGCATATTTGGGTTGCATGCTTAAAATATGAGATTTGACTAGTTACAAATATTTTACTTCATTTTGTGGTATACCAGTGAATTTGTCAGTAAATTATTAAGTTGTAAATACATGTAAATAAATGAGAGCTTTAATGTTTAGAAAAAAGCATACAGTGTCTTGTCGCATAAACAAACTATTCCATGCCCGTGTATCACCACTAGCTTCAGATGCCTTCTTCTGTTCTTCCCTCTCTTGCTTCAGACTTTTCTTGTCCTGAGTAATAGCAGTTTCAGACCTATAATAACATACCATATCATTAACATGTATAAGTAATCGGTGGGAGGATAAAATTTTGTAAACAAGATAAATCTACACCTTGATGCAAGAAGAAAGATATTACATAAGCTCACCAGGATTTTCCATTGGTCGTACATTGAGGTTTAGCAGCCATAACATGTAATAGTCTTCCCTGAAATATGGAGTTGTCCAATGATTCTAGAGCCCTGCTCAAATCCATAACACCTGAACTTGTTAAAATAGCTTCTAAGCTCTAAATATTATGCAATAGCCCTCATCATAAAAAGAAATGAATGACAATTCATTTACAAAACAAACAAGCATAAAAAAAAATTTATCATAGATCTGATGGTTTTTTTTACTTATAAAACAAGATAATTTCTTTTTTCAAATGCTTAAACATATAGGTGGAGAATAAATAAGCAAATGATTTAAGTTTTTCATACCTAGCAGCAGACTCTGGAAGTGAGTAAAGCAAATAAGCAATGCCTTTGGAGCGTTTTGTATTCTTATCAACTACAATGTGAACCTCAGAAACATCACCAAATTGGCTAAAGAGACCATGCAATTCGTCCTCACTGTCTTCAACAAAAGCAAAATTGATCAGAAATGATAAAAACTCAGTTTCATTAGTGAGAATTTAGAATAAATAAGATTACTGCATTAAAATAGAGGAGAGGTTACTTTCCATACTTTGTTGAATATGGAAGATTGCGTACAAATAAGCGCCCAGTCTCAAGGGCCAGCTCTTTATCATCATCATATTTTGTTGTTGGACTTTCATTACTCAGATTGTCAATATCAGACTTTTCTTCAACAATATTTTCTTCATCAAAATAGACATCCTTGATGTGTTCCTGAGCATCTTCAGAATTAATAATTTGACTCTTTCCATCCATGCGTGAATTATCATCATTGTGGTCATCTTCATCACCACGATCACCATCTTCAAAACACTCAACATCTGTTTCTGAATCTGACCAGTTTTTCTTGATCCGGCTCTTCAGATAATCCATGTCTGATATAATATCATCATTTGCAACTCCATTTGATTTATTTTTCATTGATTTCATAGATCCTTGGATTAAAGTCCTTGGAAAACTTTTATCAGCTAAATCAAATTCATCAGACAATCGAGTTTGCAGTGGAAATGACTTCTTAATCTTGCCCTGATGCATTTCTTTCTCAGGGGATTTTCTATCTTGTTCTGACAAATCCATTGAATGTATTGTATCGTTAGCCCACAACTTCGCTTTAGAGCGTGGCTGCATTAGTTGAAGAAACTCGCTAAACTTAGGATCATCATCTTCACAACTTCCTGATTTTTTTACAAAGGCATTAGAGTGTTTTTGACCTTTAGAACAAGTAAGAGAAGAACTGTTAGGGCTCTCCTTATTATTTTCTTTCAAAAGATCATTTTTCTTAACAGAATAACGGCTCCATGGGCGAGGTGCATTTGGATCACCAACTCTACGAGCAATCTGCAATTTATAGAATGAGAAAAAGAAGTGTTAACACATTTTTTAGTAGTGTGATAACATTTGAAAGGTTTTTAGTCAGTAGCATATATTATTAATTTTAAATTTCTTGATGCATCAAAAAAATAAATAAAATCAAAACGGAAGTGCCCCCCAACTATCAAAATATATGCATCAAATATGTAAAACATAAAATAGCTTTTGTTCATGAAACAAAAAAGAGACCTAACAGAATGAAAAATGAAGCCTAAATTTCAAATGAACTGTCAAAAAAAAGTTCAATAAAAAATTATGGACATTTACATACATCACACAATTCTTATATAGTTATATATCTAACGATTATACTTTAATTTACAAATATAGCACTCAAATCTTTAACAATACATTAAAAATAACACTACTACCTACTTTTTAAAAGTGAAAACATACATTCAGGCATAGGTTTTTTGTTTGTATGTAATTTTCCCTAAATAACACTCGAAAGTGTTATGTATGTAAATATGAAAGTTTAGGTGTTAGATATGTAAAATAAATAAGAATTATGTTGTTTGTATGTAATTTTCCCTAAATATTACATGAAAAATAGTTCATAAAAGGCAACAAGTGTATCAGTTAACAACCACATATACAAATTTTAAAAAAGTGGAAGGAAGGGATTCGGACAAAATAGGAGAAACCAAAATAAATATTTGAGTTCATGAAAAATTATGTAAAATTTCGGAGCCTAAAAGGCTGCTAGACCAACAGATACCAATCCAAAAGTTGCAACCCATAACACTACATAAATTCTACACAGCATAGAACTTCAATACAAAACCCTGCCAAAAATACCATCATCAAACCATAATTCTGATCCATAACAGAACAAAATCCCTATGGGTTAATCACTAAACAATGCTCTAAATAATGGCCATATCTGCCCAAAATCACCTAAGGCAAAACCACAACTGCTGCTAATGCTAACTAAACAGTAATATAAGATGCAATCCTTGGCATCTTTTTATGCCACTATACCTCGCATGTTATTCTCGAGGTGTCCATATAGGTGCCGTCAAAAAACTTGAGGGCCTCCTCGGCTTCCCGCTCGGTACGGAACCCTATGAAACCAAACTGTCTGCTTTTGCCATCTCTGGCGCCAAGCGAACAAAAATACATGAAATTTTAAATCTTTAGAATTACCATGATGATGGTGAAAAAGTAGAAGAGAACACAAGAGAAACGGAGTCTCACATAGTTCGCATGAGTTTGGTGTCAGTGACCTCCCCCTTCTGAGAAAAGAATTCCCTCAATCGATCCTCTTTCACGTACCTTGGTAGATTCTTCACGCAGATTCGAGACCTTTGAAACCAAAATAAACCAGCTTTAGAGCCGGAGAGAGCGAGAGAAAGAGCGAGAGAAAGACTTACATCTTTAGCCACTGTTCGGTGACAGTATTTGAGCAGTATTTGACTTAAATCCTCCCAAACAGCAAAAATGATAACTTCAGGTGCCTGTCTGTTAACACATTTAGTGTAGGATTTGTCATTTCGTTGCACAAAATAAAGCCTCGGGTTTGATAAATCTGGATTTCAAAGATTTAGGCCTTAAATCCTGGATTTACTAAATCTAGTGAATCAGCGGATTTAGTAAATCCGGGACGAGCGCTTCGCAAAAAAGAAGTCGTGAAGTCGGCTTCCTCAATGGTTGCAGGTACGAGAGGAGCGGAAGGAGGAGAAAGATGGGAGGTTCGGGTTTCTGTAAGCCACGATCCCTTCGTTGCGTTCCCAGCTAGATCTTGCTACTGTATCTAGAGGGTTCGATCAGGAAGGCGATGGCTTTGCAGGAAACAGAGAAAGGGACAGGAAAATTCGAGGGTTTAGGGGAGAGGAGGGAAGCCTGGACGAGAACTGGAGAGAAGAGTAATTAAACATAAATAATAAATAAGTATTCCTTTATAAATATTAAACTTCTAATTAATTAAATAAAAGTTTTTTTAAAAAAACTAATTAATTTGTTAAATAACTATTAATTATCATAATTAGAAATTAATTTTTTATTAAATTTAACTAAATTTAATAATTAATTTTTATCATAATGAAAAAGAATAAAAGATTAATTTTTATTCAAACAGTCGTAACAAATTTTTAAATCCTTACAAAAGTTGTCAAAATACATAGCCAAGATTTAACTGATTTAATAAATTACAGCTTCCGATATTTAATATAAATCTATGGTCTGATAATTTTTAAAATTTAATCTAAATAATTTGCCAAATAGTTTTTGAGATTTAGGTGTTTAAGATCCGTTTGGGACAACTTATTTGTTACGGTGGCATTTTAAAAACGCACCTAGAATGTTTAGGTAAACTGCATTTTGGCAGCTTATACGTTTTGAAAATGCTGAAAGCAGTGTTTTCACACTACACCTATCTAGGTGCAGTGGTAGCTTTCTAGCAGTGGTCTGGTTTTTCTAAAACAATAAAAAATTATAATACTCAGTGCACCTAACTTATCAGCAGATTATTCAATAAGCTACAGTTGCTCCAAACAGACCCTTAATTGTTATTTATTAAATCTAAGTTTATACAATTTACTAAATCTTACTAACTTAAATCTTGTTTGTTCCGAGAATCAGAGGGCCCAACATTGAAAATAAAGATGGGGAGTTTATGTATTTTGTTACTTATTATATTGCATAAAAAGACTTAAAACATTGCTATTTAAAAATCAACCATCATATCTCATACACTTCTCAAATTCTCACTCTAATTTCAAAATTTATGATAAACTTTCAGTTAATATGTTTCATTTTTATTAAATTCTCAATGATTTAGTCATGGTATATTTAAATGCATCAATTCAGCAGTTCAAAAAATCACATTGGTGTTAGTTTTGTAAATATCAATATCCCAAGTGTTTCATATGTAATTATCTCTATATTTTAAATTAGGAAAATTTACATATATAACACTCAATCTCTATGTATTCATATATTTAACACCTATATTTTAATTTTTACATATCCACCCTTGTCTAAGTATTCATATATATAACACCTATATTTTAATTTTTACATATCCACCCTTGTCCATACATGAAAATATGTATTTTATTTTTTTTAAGGTAAAACAGTAATATTTTTTATGTGATTGGAAAGATTTAGGTGGTATATTGTAAAAAGCAAGGTAGTAGGTATGTTATGGGGTTTATTTATGCAAATGGCCCATTAAATTATTAATAACTATTGGTATTAATTAAATAAGATTTGTCATCTTAAAATTTTATATTAAGTGTTAAAATTAATTTTAATTGATTAAAAATATTTTAATACGAACGAATTAATATTTTTTTATTTATGCTTATCAAGTCTAAGTTAATAGATTTAGTTAATTTTTGTAAATTATTAATTAATGATTAATTAAAAGTATAATTCATGTTAATTATAATTAGATTAGCATGGTTAAACTTTATTAAATAAAAATTATTAATATATATTGGGGGATTCGAATATTCGAGTACCACATCTTATACACTGGGGGATTCGAATATATATATATATATATATATATCACTGGGGGATTCGAATATATCTTATACACTGGGGGATTCGAATATATATATATATATATATATATTGACCTTAATTAAATTTGTCCGAATATTTTATTGTTGGGAAAGAAAATATGATAGCACCTTAAGGATAAAAACCAAGAATTGTCATGAATCATATATATTTGTCTATGTTATATTTTCACGCTCAGACGGATTAATACATATTATAATTTGAGTTGGTTCGATTTAAAATTTAATAAATTTAAACTAATTTTCCATTTAATAATTTAGGTATCAATTTACCTATTTGCATTTAAATATGTTAAGACATTATTAATCAACATAAGATTTTGATCCTTCCTTAAATCTCCCATTCAACATTATTTACCAATTTGGAATATTTATAGCAATGATTCCACTACATTAACAAAGATACATGTTGATGATGGATAAAAATTTCTTCTATATTGATGATTGTATAAAAATCAGACATCCAGTTACTCGAGCTCTTAATAAAATATTTTATTTTATTAGATTATTTTGATAGTTGTTATTACATCATTATTAAGTGACAGAACCAAGAGAAATTGTTGAACTGATTTTAGTGGTTACTACTAAAATAAGTTGAGAAAGATCAAGTTATGAAAAATATCCTCTCCTTGCACTGAAAGAAGTAATTTGTGTATGAATAAAACACTTAGAATATAGATTATAACTAATAACAAATTGAAGCATTCCTCTTTTTTACCCTCTTTCGAGTGCATAAAGAATTTCAGTTTAACTAGGTAAGAATTTATGTCTGCCAACCTAGAAACCTCCTAATTACCCCCATCAAAACATATCTCCCTATCTATTTACACTGTCATATGGACTAATTTTCGTTCACCCAATAGTGCAATCTGGTTTCTAGTAGTTGTTAAAGTCATAGCCCTCTCAGATCAGTATGGATTCACGATAGGTTTTAACATACCAATGTGACAGATTTATAAGTAAATGAAGCGTGAAGTAAAAATTATCATAATAATTAATAAAAACTTATTTTAATTGTATCCACATATGATGCACATACTATTACTTCATTACAAGAGAAAAGTACAAAGGATCTACTCACGATGCATGAAGAAAACACAACAATCCATTATCTTACAATAAAGCAAAGTCATACACAATTAGTTTACAAATAAAACAAGATAATATAGAATGAAACAATTATCTTTCTTCCTCTTAAAAGATGTGAAAACTCCTCCCCCAAATGATCTCTAAGTGTTTCTTGGACTGCTTACAGCAATCCCTTACAATATTTTCTTAATTTTCTCTAAGAAAATGCAAAAAAATATAAAATTTATCTTTAAACTCTACTTTCCTCCACACTTTAGATTTTTTTCCTTGACATCACAAATGATCCTCCTTTATGTTAGAATTGTCTCTCTGCTCATAACCACCAAATTCATCCATAACTGCTGCAAAAACCACACAAGTTAGTTTTGGTGCCTAAGCGCCACCTTCTCCGGTAGGTAGGGAAAATAATTGGCATCTAGGCACCAGTATGTGGAGCCATGGCGCCATCTTCTCTATTTGTTGGATACGATATGGCGCTCAGGCGTCCATTTGCGGCACCATGGAGTAGCGTCAGGGTGCCAGAAGCTGGTGCCAACCTGTTGTTGCTCCATTGCTCCATTTGCCTCCTTTTCGCTTTGATTCCACTCCAATTTGCTTCAAATCTCCTGCCTATTATACATGCAACAAAAATGGGGAAATACATTCCTTTAAAGTATAACTTCAACAAAAAAGAGTGCTGAAATATAAGAAAAGTTTAACATGCTACAAGACATATCATTAGGTCATCCTGGTCATATAATCATATCTTTGTCTAGATTGCCTTGGTTGATTTTGTCTGGCACTTCAAGTAACATGCTGCATCGGTTTTACCACTGGTCCATGTTTTGTCAGAGTACTTCAATATCCGACTACATTTTTTATGCTTGATAGGGTTACCTTGATCAATAGAGATCGATGTCCTATAAGAGAAGTGTCTCTCCTCACCGGATCGTTTTTTGCATCCAACTTTTCTCAACTACATTAGTTGGTTCTATTTTCCAAGTTGAGTGACATGTTGCATCGATTTTATTGTTGATGCATGTTATGTCGAAATGCTTTGATGTCTGACTATAATTTGAGCATGTTGTCTCAGGTTGTTTTCTCCATATGGTTGTTCATTTGATGTATAGGCAAGATACATAACTCTTGCCCTTTTTGTTGTTCAACCAGGATACATACATCTTGTGTCATTTGATATGTTTAGTCAGGATACATACCTCCTATGACACTGATATACTCGAGCAGGATACATAGCTTCTGTCGTATTTGATGAGTAGTCATGATACATACACCGTAGACTATTTTGATCGGGATACTCAACTCCCTGATCATCTGATGGTTTGTTCAATGGAACTATTGTCTTTGCTTGGCCGCCCTTAATGATAAGACATCATTTTTAGGCATGTAAGTTTTCAATAGCCATTTGGCTTTAAAGTATCTCGAACCATACAACTTTTCAGTTGGTTCTTTCATGAGAGCATCATTAGCTCTTTAGCTATTATCTTTTGATATTTCTCAATCCATATGACACTTTTGTCAGCTTTGTTATGAGAATATCTCATCTTCGAACATCTTTTAGATTTATAGCCACATACTTCAATACTTCTCGAACCACATGACACTATGGTAAGCTCTTTTATGAGAACATCTCATCTCTTTATGGTTTTGGCATTTTAGCCACTTGTTATAACAACTCTCGAACTATATGACGCTCTAATCAGCTCTTTCATGAGAATATGTCATTGTGCTATCATGTCTTTTGACATTTTTGGCCTTTTAGCCATTTGATATGACATTTCTCGAGCTATATGACGTTCTAATCAGTTTTTATGAGAACATATTGTCGTGTCTGGCTCGTTAGCCTTTTGATACTTCTCAAACTATATACCCATTTAGGTCGATTCGTTTATGAGAGTATCTTATCTTTGGACATTCCTGAGTGCCTCTAGAACTGCATAACTTCATAGTCGGTTTTATGATGAGAGAGCCTCAACTAGTTGACCAAATGTCACCTTAATCAGGATATTTTCTTTGTTATTGCAACCAGATCACGATGATGAGTATTCTTCTCCATGGGAGTCAGTCCGACTCATAATTGGGTTCCTATCGAGATAATATAATAGGATACTTGAGGTCACAATAGATGATCGAATCACCTTCCACTTTTGTCGTTACGACCAAGGTTGGACAAATTTTAGGCCCCCACCTATATTGATTTGAATGAGGTCAGATAGAAGGTATTTACCTCTTGTGACTAGAG